GTGGCTCGCCATCCTTCCCTCTCTTCCTCTCTCCCTCTCTCTCTCTCTCTCTCCCTCTCTCTTTACCCTCTCCGCCCTCGTAATCCACCCTCCATCCACCCTCTCCCTTTCTCCCGATGTTCTCTTCTCCTTTCTGTTCCAGGCACGTCGAAAAGCAGGAGAGGCAACCCGCGGCATTCGAACCGCATGAAAATAAATAAATGCCCGAGGGTGGCCGGCGTCGGTGAGACGCGAGGATGAAGGGGTAAAGGGGCGTAGAGGTAGTGGATTCGCTCCAGGGACTCACCGCCACCACCTGCTATCGATTTCACCCTCGAAACTCAGCCGTGCCGATCTGACGAATCGCTTCTTTTCTGCCGATTTTCTTCCAGCTTTTCACCGATTGTTCGCTTCTTCTCTATTTCCGGTCTGGTTCGATCCTTCGACCGATGCTAGATATACTCGGACGAGGTTTTGGTCATTCAGCTGGTGGAATTCGAATTTGTTGGAATTAAGGTTCATGCATTTATTCGTACGCAAATATGTTATCCGCCGAGGTTGTCTGCTCGGCTATAAAACGTTTCCAATGACAGAATGAAAAGAGGTAGTCACGTCGTAAAAGAGACTCGAGCAAATAAAGGCGATAGCCACGGGGCTTGGTACTACATTTAGAACCGGGTAAATTGAAATACTACAATCAGCAATCTTCTGCAATGGCTGATTCGGTTACAAGATTTCGTTGTCGGCTAATGTGGAAATGGCTATAGGTTGGAAATCGAGATTTAAACGTTGTAACATTCCTCGATATTTACAGATTTCGCAATATCTTTTTCTTCGTCGATTTCACGCGTAACGATAAAATCCCATTAACGTGTAGCGTAAAATGTACGTACATGAAAAGACGCGTCACCACCTACGATTCACAAAAGTCGCCAAAAATATATGCAAAATCACACAGGAGATTGGTAGAATCTTCTACTCGTTGCTGCACCACTAAACGACGCACAGGACTTTTAGACAAAATATTCCTCGGCGTTGGAAACTCTTCCGTGTTTCGATTGAAAGTTGAACGAAATTCGAGAAAAATATCGGTCAGTAGCGTACTTACGACGAACGAAACATGTGGACGGTAAAGGAACCCGCGAAGATCCAGCGGCCTTATTTTCCGTTAATGAAACGAGCGTGGGCACGTGTTCGGGAATTCGAGATGCGCAAAACTACGCAAGGTTTATTCTCACGAACGAGTCGTTACTTCTCTACGACCAGCTCCTTACCGGCGCGTATCCAGCCCATTCTTCGTACGAACAACGATCCCCAGGTGGCCGTACGTCTCCCCGGAAATGGACCGCGTTCTCCAATTGGACAATGATAATAAGGATAATAGCGACAAGAGTAATAAGGACGATGATTAGAAAAATTGCACGGACGACCCCCTTGGGATCTACCGTCTACCACGGCGTTTGTCGCTTTGCTTTCGC